TGGAAATTATTTTTGATAAATACATTCAATACATTAATATTTGTGTACATAATACCTCGTATTCATGAATAATTCGTATTTGTGCGGTTTCGTTTTTACATCTATCCTTTTGTACGGCATTATAGTTCATTGTTGTTTTGACCTTGTGACTAAGAGACACAGTCCTTCTTAGTAATTCCTTGTAATGCCTAATTTTATCTAGAACAGACCTTCGCTTGTGCAGTTATATTCTGATTTCATCTTTATTTTTAACTATTGCGGTAGAATCAGACTGTCAATTTTATTTTGTGGTTGACTGTACTAGTACATTGGAATAATTTAGTAGACATTTACTTACTGAGCCCAAATGAATATTTTACATCTAAAATATTTTTATTTGACTGTCTCGTTGGCCGAGTGGTCGCAAGTGCGACTACCGGGCAAAGGATCTCGGGTTCGATTCCCGAGTCAGGCAAAGTATTACTGGGTTTATTGAAAAAAATACCAGTAGTAGCACGGAATCTGGAATTGCGCCCGGTATATGGCAATAGGCTCACCCCTTATTACATCGGACTCATAACATATATATATAGTGAAAAGTGGGTGTTACATTGTACAGTGGCATCAAGGGCCGTAATTTGTACCTCTGCCAACCCCCTCGGGCATAAACGCGTGGTATTATATTATGTTCCCATGATTGATGTTACTATAAATAAGTACAACTTTTACAACAGTTCTAAGATAAAGGTGGAAAGTCTAAATCTGTCTGAATTAGTTCATTTCCAATTTCTTAGTCTTTAAATTTGTAGTCCCATAATAACAATAGCCACAATAGGCCTTTCTCACAGAGCATTCATTCAATAATAATATCATGCAGGGACATTACTCTTTGTATCCTCGGGGATAAACAGGCGTGATGATTCATGCTATCTAATGTTGTATAGTTTATAGTCTAAATATAGTTTTAATGCTAGGGTTTTGTAAACTCCCAGACTGATATACCCATTAAATGTTATTCTCAGTATTTGTAAGTTAGTTTTCTTTTTTTAATGAGACCAGCCACTACCTCCCAAAACCGCTGGATCTCCTGTAAGCCAGGATCTACAGTACATACAACCATGAAAACACCGGAACACTGAAGTCCGAAGCGTCCCAGGGACATGAATAACTGTCTTGGTTCCCGCAACGAAATTAATCAGAACATATTACAAGAGGAGAAGATAAAAGTTAGTTAATTATCTATGAAACATGAATAATAGTAGTTATTTATTAGGCCGCTCGACCGGAGTGATACCACGGCCGAGCAGAAAACCGACGTGAAACAACGCTTGCGTTTTGTTTCGTCGTGTGATTGAGGTTACCGGACGCCCATCTATCCCCCCCCCCCCTTCCCCAATCTCCCCAATCCCTGAATCTCCGACATTCCTCAAATTACCATCAGGTGATCCATCTGCTCGTTTACCGGCGTATACCATAAAAAACTAAAGTAATGTCTAAGTTAAGTGACACTTAACGTTGATTTTATTTTCATCGACCTATGAGTGACACTTTATTGTAGAAGTAAGTGGTTAGTTTAGTTGCTGCGTCATACACATAACATCACGCCTTTTATCTCCAAAGAGGCAGAGGTGCACATTATGCCACTATACAATGTAACACCCACTTTTCAGTTTCACTAATTATGTAATAGGGTGTGAGCCTATTGCCATATACCGGGCACAATTCCAGACTCCGTACTAACACTGAGATTTTTTTTAAAACCTAGTAGTACTTTTCCCGACTCGGTAATCGAACCCGAGACCCCTTGCCTGGCAGTCGCAGTTGCGACCACTCGGCCAACGAGGCAGTCTACTACTCACGTAAATATACTGAGAAAACCTCGACTAGGTTCGAGTTAGAGAGGGGTTCTTCCTTATGAGCAGCGTGCGCGATCGCGATCGCGGTGATCGCGTGCAGCCTACTAATATTACTTATTTTTTAGTTAATTCAACATGTCTCACGATAGTCATTATAAAGACTTAATTATTCGTTTAATTTCGCACTATAGTAGGCTATCAATAAATAGTATGTTTTTTTATTCAATGGTCGAATGTGATAAAAATAAAAACAACAGAAATATTTCTAACACGGTTTATCTTTCAATATTATAATGATACGCTCAAATACATTATTACAGTACTTACTGAGGTACAACCAAATGCAATACAAACCAAACGTTTCTTTCACTAATAGATGCTTAGTAATTATTAAATTCGAAATTTAATACATCGATTATTAATAATATTGCACTTTATTATACAAAAAATCAGAGAAGTATTTCATTTTAATTGAATTAATGTTATACACGTAATATTATTTACGGGTTTTACCTACTGCATTAATATTTTGATTGAGTAAGTCCTCAAACACTCATATTTCTGAACAAATTGAAAAAAATATATAAAAACGTTAACAAAAAAACTAATCTCAATTTAATGAATTTTGTTGTAATAGTAAACATACCAAATTATTATTATGTTTCCGGCTTACTGAACTGACGTAAGTACCTAACTGTTTGACGAGAATCTCGAGATTTTGCAATAGTTTTACAAATAAATAAAATGTTTAAAAGAAAAATAGGTGAGTAACCATTGTGAAAAGCAAACTTCGAAAGCGCATACGTATGTATGTACTTATTTACGCCATGTAATTCTCGAAGAGGTATTTCGCGTCGCGTGGCACGTACGATCTGAATATGGTGCCTAATCTGGATGGATCTAAATTTTTAGGCACCAGTCTCATATGTCAATGAGAGTCAATGAATATTTAATTTAAACTAAAAAATCTTTCTATTCTTTATTTTTTGTTTTTACTTTATACTTCGAAAGAACTCCTTTTGGCAAAATTTTTTGCGACGGAAACGAAATAGATTTCACGGCGTACTTATCAAACAGTGGATATGTATATTTTTTTCAATAAATAGGTATGTGATTGAGTACCTACTTAATTAAAAATTAATTATTTTGACGTTTCGATATAATAAAATATTAAAAAATAATCACACTTTCATTAATGGATTTTGACCAACTTAATTTTAGTGTTTTTCCAGAATTTTTTAAAGAAATAACTACGCTAAAAAAACGTGACGTCACAATACACAATCTCGTACAAAATTCATAAAAAACTGTCGTTTTTGACAGTTCGAAAAAAATAGGTATTGAATTTAACTAGTAGGCGAATACCGTATTATGTGGTGTTTGAGAACTTCAAAAATAAAACAATCAGAAAGAGAGATCAGACATTTATATTCTACATAATATGGGTACTAAAATCTGCAAGTGAATGTTAAATATTGATACACGCGCAGACAGATTATAAATGTATATTTTTCCATAATATTTGACAAGCTATTTATCATACAATAGGGTAGTCTCCTATATTTTATTTAATGTCCGTCTGGTACATTAATTTAAACTTTGGACACGTATTTTTTCTTTTCTCACAAAATTAAATATCGTGTGACGTCACAGCGTGTCACATTTTGTAGCACATTATGACGTAACGAACTCCCACTCCTAAATATAGCGCCATTTTATCCAAGTATTGCAACTTAATACGAGAAAATAAAAAAATACGTGTCTAATATTTTTTCATTATCTAACTGACGGACTAATTAGATTTTTAATTTTAATACCCTGGAAACTACCCAATTCAAATGTCGTTGAAGTCATGTTTCTAGATTTTAAAAATTATTTTACATTTGTACAATGTCAACGCCATAAATACTTAGTCATTATATTTTATCGTATACTTACTTATTACTTACTTATTATTATTTCGTATTTTATTTTATATTTATTTTTATTTCAATAAATGACTACATATTTATGATGCTGACTGTACTTTTAACAGTCAATTTATTTGAATAAAAATTAAAAAATCGTAATTGTAATATTAATTAACAATAATAAATAAATTATTACATAGATACATTTTTATACAATTTATATTACACATTTTTTATTAAAATTATAAAATAATACAAATATGTCACAACTCTTTTATATTAATTTAATTAATTAATTAAAATTAGATTGCGTTTAACTATTTTTTGTACCTATTGTACTTGCATTGAGAATTTCTAAGAAATATTTACAAATATTTTAAAAAGGAAAAATAACAATGTTAAATGTACATAATATGTATTGATAACATAACATAACACCTTTTATCCACAAAGAGGTAGGCAGAGGTGCACATTACGGCCCTTAATGCCACTGTACAATGTAACACAGACTTTTCACTATTTATGTTATGAGTCCCATGTTATAGGGGGTGAGCCTATGTACTGATTTAATATTATAATGATAGTAAAAATGCTGAAATATTTACTATAACACCAAAATGAAGTGAGTAGACCGATTCCATTAACCTATAGATTATTTAATAATTCAATATAATAGTTCAGATGTGTGCTGTACAGAATAACGGTGACAAATCAAGATAAAATTACTTCAACAATTATTTACATGTAAAACAATATTCTTTGGTATACTTTATTAATAAATATTAAATTACTTAAACTTAAGAAAGATCACAACGAGGAATAAAATTATAAAAACATAGGTAACCTCGTTTTCTAGCAGTCGGGCAAAACAAGCCTGCGGTAGAGAACAGCCAAGTTCTGTTCGAAAAGTTTTTAGAAATAAAAATATTTTATTGAACATTTTTATGTCAATAGAATATTTCTATCTTGAACGTAACATAACATTCACGGCTTTAATTTAACGACAGGGTAGGTAAAGGTGCATCCGTTTCTAATACAAAATTGCCGGATATGTTGTTAGCCCAAAATAATAAGCATTAATATAACTAGACACAATTTCAGACTCTGTGCTACTACAAAAAAACTAACAAAGTCCTGAAACCGAAAACAAAGCAATTATTTAATTTACAGAAACCGTTTATCCAGTCAAAACTGTCTACCGCCTGACTTTTCTAGGGAACCTGACGTTGCTTGCAAACGGCTCCTTGTTCAGGCGTCATTTCTTTCCAATCCCGATGAGTCCTTGCGCTGACGAGAGAGATGCGAGAGTGAGTCTGTCTGTCCGCTCCTGCGTGGCCAGCAGGCGGTCGGCGCCCAGCGACGTCAGCGGCAGGCGCCCGCCCTCCGCCAGCGCCCCGCCCGCCTGCAGCCCCCCGCCCGCCTGCAGCGCCGCGCCCGCCGCCAGCCCCGCGGCCGCGCTGGGGGGCGCTGCTATGGGGGTGGACGCGCGAGTCAGTGGCTTGGGAAGCGATGGCTGCGTCGTCGGTGGTGACGTTCGTAATCCGGTCGGTTTTTGGTCGCGGCCGCTGCACACCTGAGTAAAAGATTAGATTTAGATTACGGATTATCTGACGGTGACCTGAATACACGTTCATAAGGGTAAAAATTGAGAAAGTGTGAAGATTTTTTCCAAGATTAACATTTTACATACATTTAAAAGAAGAAAATATATGTGTTTATTGGTCTGACTAAACTTATTGCGTGTTTGCTTTGTACTTAGTTTACCTGATGATGATTCTCCCAGTCCTTGTGCTGACAGAAGGCACCACAATATCGCGCCGCGTTGCAGCCGGAGCATGTCTCCTGAGCCTTGCGACCGCAGTTCCAGCAACACTGCATTACAAAACACATAATTAATCACATATCTTTAAATCAAGTAATTTTAATTTAAGTTAATATGGCTAAGACTTATAAGAGAGTAAAGATGTAACTAGTTCATTGAAACAACCCCATATTAAGACTGATACTGAATACTAACAGTGAATACTACGCTTCACTCAAAATACAAAGCATAGTACTCACATTTTGCTGCGAGCTAGCATTAGGGCTGAGTTCCCTGCCAGGCGGCGGAGAATGTCGCCGCTCCCCTAGTCGCTCCACCTTGCCGCGCTCGGCTGCGACCAGTTCCAGAGCCTTCGTCTCCGCTGCACCCACTGCACGCTGCAATTCCAGAAGCGCTTGGCGTTTCACCTGATTGACATGTTTGGGTTAATACAAAGTACTGCGACACAAACTGTTAGAATTCGCACATGCATTACGAATAGGCAATTTTAAGCTCAACAAGAAAACTTGACTCCTGATGCTGAGCTAGGGGCTCAAAGTTAGAATCCTGAGTCAGAAAAAATCATGTTATACGGAACTCACAAAGCAAATGATAAAATTCAATATAAAAACATTTGTATCAATTACTATTTTTCATATCAAGTGTCAATTACCTGGTTGACAGCATCCTCTGCTCGTCTCCGTACCTCTGCCACCCTCTCCTCAGTCTGCCTGACTGCAGTCGCCATGATCTCGCTGGCTGCACGCTTTATATCATTGCTTTCTGTTGGCTCCACACCTGTTTAAATAGAGTTCATTTAAAATTGTACTTAGAAAAATTAAATAGGAATCACGTATTTTTACTTATACAAAGAGATATTTTTTCATATAATCTTTAACCTTCTTAGTCTTTTAGATAGCGTCCGACAACCAACACGAGTTTACATATATGACGAACGTGAAGACACACTAAAGTTAAAATAATATATTATTACTTATTATGTGTAAATATTAATCGATGACTGCCTCGTTGGCCGAGTGGTCGTAAGTGCGACTGCCGGGCAAGGGGTCTCGGGTTCGATTCCCGGGTTGGTTAAACTATTACCGGGTTTTTTAAATATTCTCAGTAGTAGCCCTGTCTCATCCCCTATTAAATGGGACTCATAACATGAATAGTGAAAAATGGGTGTTACTTTGTACAGTTGTATAATGTGCACTTCTGCTTACCCCTTCGGGGATAAAAGGCGTGATGTTATGTATGTTATGTATGTATGTATTAATCGATATTAAAAACAACCAAAAAATATTTCGCGATAACTTTATTCAGGACTTGGCGGGTACCCTTACACTACCGTGCCCCTCGACCTTACAGCTGTCTCTTAGATTATATTTTTACCAACTAATATTCTAAGAGTTGTCTCATCTATTCTGCAACGGTATCTTACCTCTCTGCTGCAGTATAGCGAGTGCTCTCTTGGTCTTCTCCACCATGCTGAGGATGCAATTCAGCATGGTATTGATGTTCTTCCACTCGTCGTCCGTCTTCAAGAGGCCTGAGGGCGCAGCGCCCAGCCCGCGGGGCTCCGCGAATGGTGCGTTCATTGAGGATACGTCGCGGACTGTTATACCACCTGGTTGCAATAATGATTGTATTTAGAGAACTTGAAACATTCATGTTTTGCTTTTACCAAGGTATTTCTAATATGTATTATTTGACAAAGACTTTAAAACTTATAAATTACTATATTCAATGCGCCTGCCAAACGTGGTAAATAAAATCATTTGATTACTTTCCCCCCTTTAAAAAATCGTGTGGGAAAATCTTCTTATGTAGAGAAGACAGATTAGACTACTATTAGTAGATTGTAACGGGTTATATTTTTGACTTTGGGTGTTAACTAGATTTGATTCAATGTAAGTATATTCCATCCAGCAATGGTCATCTATACTTTCGGAACACATGATGGTAAATTAGCGAGGTAACTAGAGGTATATGCTTGAGTTTATCAATAGAGCACCAATCAAGCTTTTTCAAAAAAAGAGCTAGTCAAACAAAAGACTGCCTTTTTTACCGACCGCTAGTCGGGCAAAGTATTACTGGGGTTTTTTTTATCTCAGTAGTAGCACGGAGTCTGGAATTTTGCCCGGTATATGGCAATAGGCTCACCCCTATTACATGGGACTCATAACATAAATAGTATAAAGTGGGTGTTACATTCTACAGTGGAATAATGTGCAGCTTTGCCTACCCATTCGAGGATGAAAGGCGTGATATTGTGATGTCGAGAAAAAAAGATTTGTTCGATTACTGGTCTACATAGGTATCAATAAATACAGTCACTCACCATCTCTCCTCTCATATCCACCTTCCTGGTTTCCATGGTACGCATGGTAAGGATGTCCATAGTCGAAGAGGCTGGCGTTGCTAGGCAACGGGTAGAGGAACGGTGATGGGTTCAGGAACAGACTGGAGGCCGTGCGCTTGGCCTGCGGCGGGTACTCCTCGTGTGCACCGTTTGTTTGGGGAGCGTCGTAGAATCTGGTGGTGATGTATTGATGAACTCATTAATTAATAGTGGAAATGGAAGCTCAATCAGAAATAGTGTTGTTTAGTTCCTTACAATGGTTATTTACTGCCGAAAACCACTTATAAATAGATTATGTAATCATGTACATATGCCTAAATATTTTTAACCAATGTAGATACATATGTCTTAAGTTTCCTAATTCATAACATCAACGTGGACTTGTTGCAGTTACTGTAGGAAATAATACACTTATTGTGTAAGTAGGTTGCACTCCGTAATTTTCACTTTCATGGGGCAAAATCGTACATCGGTATATACAGGAGTCCCGAAGTCGACGATCAAATGGCTCCAGGTGATTGGCAAGGTTCCAACAGTTATCAGAAAATAAAATGCTGTCATATAGTTTTTAAATTACAATGACTTATGTGTTAACACCCTGTACCAGTCTTTTGACTCCTGTTGCAGCAATTCTTTATAGATTCGTCTGTATTTTTGTTTATGTTATCCTGAATAGTGCTCCGGTATTATGGAATCATAAATTCTGGGCCAACTTCTCCAGTTCAGAAAAGAATGCCGCTTCTTGATGAACCAAGTGATCCTAATAAATATTTCACCTTACTTTAAGTGACTGTACTGAAAAAAAATATTGTACTAGTAGTGGCAAATCTCACCAAAGTTGGCGCATTTAATAAGGATTTTAAAATGGTATACCACTCCCGATATTATCCTTACTAATATTATAAATCGGAAAGTGAGTTTGTTTGTTTGTTTGTTCCGCTTTCACGCCATAACTACTAAACTGATTGCTTTGAATTTTTGCAGACGTAAAGTTAGAAATCCGGATTGAATAATAGGGTACTTTTACTTTAATCCCGGAAAAAATTGATATTCCCGAGGGAAAACAAATTATTGGTATAGATGGCGCTGTGTGTATTGGTATATGTCACATAGGCTACTTTTTATCCTTCTATGACGAGAGCGAAGCCGCGGGTAAAACCTAGTTATTGTATAAAATTGTTTCTAGTATGTAAATAGGATTTATAAAAAAAAAATGCAATTTCAATCTATCTACAACACCATTATCAGACAAAACTCGTTAACTTTCGCAATATTCGCGGAAGAATTAATTGAATTTCGCGTCCAGGCAATGTACCACGAAGCCTTTTGTTTAAACCAAATTAATTATAAAATTAATCACAGCTGTAGGTATCGACACGAGGTGGAACAATACTATCATGGCGTACTATTAAATTATTATTAATAATACGAACGAATGAACTAGAAAATAAAGACAATACAAAACTTGGAACAAACGGGCGACCATTCATAAATTAGTTGCTGGTGTAAGCTACAAGCGGTAGCGATGTATAAGCGAGCTACGTTTTCAGCAGTTTCGTATATGATTAAGCAATGTATGTAAGTCAAAGAGTTGATTTAAAAAGACGGTGAGTCACTCAACATATTTGTAATTATAGATGTTTTATCACAGGAGCGCGGGTGCGCCATACTTGTGTGGGTAAATGTATATGCACATGTCTTTGTTTGCGTACGGTCGGAAACGCCCAGTTTTGGTCGGCATGCCAATGAATGAGCTTGCTGAGAGTTACGCACACAAGCGCGCGTGTGTATACGCACTACAACTACAACTATGGCTCACCCGCGCTCGTGAGATGAAAGATTAAACTCTATTTTTCAAAATGTTTCTGCAACTATATGAGGTTTGATGCGCAACTGTGTTAATTAGTTACGAAATCTTTTCGAACAAGAGTAGGGCTATGCTATTAATGAAAACCATTTTGGAAGTTTTCTGTTTGACCTATACATCTCTATTATTTAAGGATATGACTATCCTTTGTGACTGCACTCATCGTAGTAAACAGTTTTGTTTAGTTGCTCAGACTCAAATTTTTACGAAACCGAATTTTACATTAGTAAATGCACTAAAAACTAAGCCACAATAAACTACACATTTTTATAAAAACCTTATTTAAACTCGCTAGTCACACCACACAGGAATATATCCCAAGTTTACATAACAAAGAACAAACAGCAGTAACTCAATATTTTCCAATAATCTGAGTCCATTGCTTCATAAGTTGGTCCACGTGTGCTTCGGACGGCAAACAAGGCGGACTAGGCGCGCAATGCAATCGATGCAATAAATAATAATCGGTACAAGGCACGCCGCGCCCCGCCGCCTGCCTGACATGGATTTGTATAGGAGAGGAAAGCGGAAGCGAATATTAACTTGTAATTTTTAATTTAAGTTCTTAAATTTTAAACAAACGATGGAATTCTGTACATAGATGTGGAATTGCTCGATTTGTTAATCAGTTTGGAATTATACATTGATTTTTGTGAAGAAAATGTGATAGGTAAAGTTTTTGAATTTTTCATGGCATAAAAAATGTGTTTACAAAAATACCTACTTCCTTAATTTCTTTTGTATAAATAACTTACTAATGTGCCTGACTGTCTTTCTACCTGACTACTGACTATATATAATTTCCTGCACATGTCATTCAATAATACATATGTACCTGGAAACGGGAGAGAAGGGCAAATATAAGATTAATTACATTCTACACAAAAAGTTATCTGCACTAACGACTTAAAAAGAAATACGACATCAATAACAAAGAGTCGCAAACTCGCTACCGCTTACACCTTGCGGTGTACGCTGATTCGTTTGATTCGTAAGGCCGTGTCGCAGCACTGTCGCCTGCATACAGCTGTGATCTATACGTTACGCCTACTACCCAGTTTTTGGGTTTATTCATTGCATTGATAAGCAATATTAATTATGGCCTTTCATTAGTGAAATTGGCTGCATTTCATTAAATAGGAAGCGAGTTAGAATTGAGTTTGGATGTGTGATTAATGTTGTTTATTTTGTACTGATTAACAGCGTATTATATGTTTACTAATGTCAAAGCAAACATTATCAGAATTTTCAGACAGTGAACAGGTGCAGTTAATTGAATTAGAAATGATTCAACCTAAGTGCTTCAATTTCCATCAGCAAATGAACAATTGACGTTTGCTTCACTTCAGGGTACAACGTAGCCACCTTACCTATCTTTCCAAACTACAATTACAAGCTAGCCATATATCAAAAGTTCAACAAACAGTAATTTTGTACGCAACATGTGTTCCCGCGGCTGCGCCAGCGAACTAACGCCTGACTGTTTACTGCGAGCAATTAGTCGACAATCAAACTTATGCCAGCTGCTGCTAATGCCACTACGCCAGGCGCCAGCTTGAACTTGAAAACTTCTGTTTATACGAGCAATTAATAAATATGGGAGAAATTTTATACTTTTTGAAATTGTATTATGAAAACGAGTTAATTTGAAAGTGTTGCAGTAGCACTTTGTCATTTGTTATTCTATTATTAAATAAGTTGATCTCTTTACACAGATGTAGTATTATTTGTATTTTTAGTTACATTTTCTATGTGAAATATCTACAGATTGCTCAAATTATAAACATAAATCATCGCAAAATCTACACTCTCAAAGACCGTCTTCCATTCAACATCAATAACATCTGTTCACCCCTTCACCGAACTTCTTAAATATCGTTAGTAATACCGTTCCAACACACACAACCTGTGATAATGAAACAGCCGATCAGACACATCTGCGCGCGCTATTAACCGAGAGGCGCCTGCTGGTTACGTTATAGCAAACTCCTAATCACACTAATTGCTAACACTAATCTGGCAGGCGTTTTACCTCGTTTATGTAATTATGATTTTTATGGATTACGGTTACGTCTGTTATTCAACTCACTACAGTAAATGGTGTGTAATGTTTATTTGTACAAATTAATTATACGTGTTAATTGTAGCCAAGCTTAACACGATACATTATTAACACAAGCATATTATAACTTGCTATAACAGCTTGTTAAGCTAAATATTCTAGCTTTTAGCTTTAAATAACACGGCGGTGTCGCAGTTATCTGGCTCCTAAGTTATGCCAGCGCCACAGCCTAAGCTACAAGCTTAATAAACAATGCCATATGCTAAAAATTTACTTTACAACTTGGCAAACGCACGAGGCGCGCGTGTTGTAATAAATAAGGCTCATACGTGGCTCTAACGAATTGGGGTAGGCAGTATTTAAAGCTGGCGGTCGCAGCACCCTGCCAAATTGTCCAATAATAATAATTTAACGTTACCATAGCAACTGCGGCTGTTGCGGTTAGAGATTTTTTCGTGTGTTTTTTTTTCTATAACGAGATCATAATAATAAATAGGTTACCGAAATGCTTTTCTATCTTTTAGTTAACTTTAGCAACAATAACTTCTCACATTCTACAACCTAACACAGTAATTACAACCAAATAACAGTATTCACATTAAACAGTTTCAGTTATAATTGAAACGCCTGTGTATTTACACTTAGCAAGTTGCTATCAAGCAGCAAGTGTATCGGCGAGGCAGGCAGGCGCGGGGGAGAGCGCTACAAATTACCTGTCCGGCCCAGTCACCTGATTCTGACGGACATTATTGATAGTACCATTCATATTGTTTCGGTTTCACTGTAGTTAATCAATTTTTGGCTAGAAACGGAATACATTTTGTTGTGTATAATTAATGTTTCATAGTTTTGTGTGACGGCTGATGTTTTGATCAATTATCGTGTTCCAATGTATGATACCTATTTAATTAAAGTAAGGATGTTGAAATTGTTTTATTAAATTTTCGTTGCATTCAGTTTAGGGGTAAACTGGACTGATGTTATTGTTTATTAGTTAGTCAAAGACAAACAAACAAATCGTTTAATCTTATTGACCAATCTATTCTACCTTCTTAACCCTCTTGTAATCATGAACAAATGGCGGTAGAAACCAAATCAATTGTATTGTATTTTGATAATAACTTACGGGTCACTGGCTCGTCGTTTGACGCCTGTCTCCGCGGCAGTGCCTGGTGGATGCTGAGCAAAGATGTCGCTGCTGTCGCCTCCTGACTCCAAGATCAGATGCTCGTGTGATCTGATGTACTGTAGTGGCGTCTGGGGACAAAAGAACTAGTGATGAAAGATGTAGCATGCATGTGTCAAGCTTCCGTGTTTCTCTCAGCACTTTAAAGATACTAATAAGATAGGTACGTTTGTGTTTTTCCAGACTCCGTGCTTCTAGTGTGTGCTACTAGTTAGGCTCATCCCCTTTTACATGGGACTCATAAAATAAATAGTGCCAAATTTTTAACCCTACATGAATAATCTTTAATCCGTAGCCCTAATTTTACTAGACTCGTATACCATAGCTTGTAGGCCGTTGTTTCGTAACTCGTAGCACACAATTGGTAGCTCGTAACGCGTAGTTCGTACCTCGTAGCATACAATTCGTAGCTCGTAGCACTTAGTTCGTATCTCGTAGTACGTAGAAGCGTTTTCCCACTAGTCATTCATCGCATAGGCGTGCAAACCGTGGACTCTCACTTGGATAACTATAGTATTCTAAAATATTACCTGTTTGGCCCTCCTTGCCCTCGCATGCAAGTCCCTTTGTGCGAGCGGCAACAGTGCCCTGAGGAACCCCGGCACGGATGCCCGCAGTGGATAGTTGGTGCACTCCTGTACTCCCGCCTGGAACTCCTCGATGTTCACCGTGCCAGACTGATGAAGGAAAGTGAGATTTAAAGATTGTTTTTTTATTAATTACTTATTAATTACCTACTGTTAACTAAAGGATTGCGTGCATAAAGTGCTTTACTTCACGTAGGGGGTAGTGGGTATGTTTACGATTTTATTATAAATATAAATGGTATGATATTACTCGCTGCAACTTCTCAAAGTCTTTGAAAATAATATTATGAGTTTGAAATGAACATAATTAGCTATGTACAACTTACAACAAGGTTGTGAATGAGTAGGCGCACTCTCTCGCCGGTGTCGGCTCCTACATCGGTAGCGAACTGTTGCAGCGCTGACAGGAACTTCCTCAAGCGCTGCAGCGCTGGACCGGACCGCGAGCCCTCAGCTAGAGGTGGTGAGAGTGACTCCGTTGATGACAATGCTGCTGTACGAACAATCAAAAAGTTACTAAAATATATTCTCCACTCTCTAATTTGGAAGTTAGTAGAACCTAAATATTGAGGATTTTTCAAAGTAGATAATACTTTTCTTTTGATATGACATCTGGGAACTGAGCAGACGCGGTTTTTATAGTAGATGCTTTAGATCTCCTTATATCTTAGAAGGCACAAACCAAAACCTTAACCGTCTAGTTTTTTATTTTGAGAGGGGAAAATCATCCAATGGATTCTCCCGCCTTCTCCCGTCTGGTCGGGTCTGGTTCTGGTCGGGCGAGACTCGTTTGGTTAAGAGGTTGTTTTATCAGCTAACAGTTTTGGTATGGTGCAGTAAGTTTACGTTACCTGCAGTGCCATTGTTGAGCGGGCTGGGCGGTCCTGGTGTTGGGGACGAGCGAGTCTCCTCCTGCTCCGGAGACCGGTGCTCTTTGCTTGTGGTTGTAGCTGCAACAATAGACATATCACTATCGTCAATCTAAGAGACACTAAAAATATTTGGGATGTCGCTCCTATAAGTTAAGTGCAATTTGGAAAAGGCAGGATGCTAGAAGGAACGAACGATTCTTGACGTTACAAGACGTTTCTTTTAGGGACATCTACCTACATAGTTCCTGCAGTAATTTAATAAAATACTAGTTACAGATTATGCTTCTTTCATTAAGCCTGACACACAAATTACGATAAGTTTCCGTCTTTCTTGATAGAAAATAACGATCATAAAAGTGTTGTTATTCAATTATTTTTCTCTTAATAAAAACCCAATCACCGTGTGATTGTTCAGGAGCACATCTCGTGACGATATAATAGTATGCGTGGTCACGGCCGGTACAGGCGCAGTTTGAACAGCTGCCCACTTCGCTGAGCGCTGCAAGTTGGTACTTACACTGAGTGACCCGCTGTCGTGACGCACACACGAGTTGAACTTTCTGAACTAAGTATGTATTGAAATTGTGATGGAGGTTAAGTCAGTGTTATGTAGTAAAACAATTCTTAGTAAAACATATAAGAGTTCTGTATATATATCGTTCGATTTTTACAGAAGAGCGCCGACGTTAAAACTGATGGTTAGCAATTAGCACCGACACTTGATTAGCTGCAATATCAGAAGAGTTACAAATGCGTCGCCGGTGCTCAGAGAATGCAATCTAAGTGATTAAAACCCATTTTAAAATATGGCCGTTAAAAAGAAGGAGGGTGCAGGGTGGAATTGAAACTGTCAATTATCATCAATTATCATCAATAACTAAAACAAAACAAAGTTTAGCATTTGAGCTCTGAAAAGTTCACTAAACTCAAACCGTGAACAAACACTGAAAACCCAGCATTAACATAATCCTCTATCTATAAACAGCTAATGATAATATTGACAAATAAACAGGTATCACTGCAGTACACTAACTTTATTCATTTTACGTACAATATTGAAATAAGTAGCGATGCTCTATGCCCGCGCACGCACCTCATCATTGAGTTTACACAGGCCGCCGATAGAGGGAGTGGGCGGCCATCAATATGGCGGCTCTCAAATTATGGCGCGAAATTGTTTTGTCGCCATTTTTTGAGGTCTATGAATTTATTTATTTGTATTGATTTGTATTATCTTTTAATTAAAGTTGGATAGTGAATTTAATATTGTGATTTCTCTATGAAGTTCGTTTATTACCAATTTATAATTAAGTTCGGAGAGAGACTGTGGGTACTATTTGAACGTAACGTTTTTCAAAATATTTAGTCTCGCCTGACACATCTGATGATAGTTATAATAAAAGTCTACGTTAATTGAATTCCTAGTTAATTCTAAGTCATCAAGATAGAAATCCATGTCTGCAGTTCTAATGGCCACACGATGTCGATGCTTTTAATACCGCCCAGCATGCGACCTATTACTATTCTGTACTAGTAGGTACTTTTCCTAGCGCTTTGATATCGGGAATTTTTTGCAAAATGTGTGTAATCTATCTATTATAAAGCTGAAGAGTTTGTTCTTTTGTTTGTTTGTTTGAACGCGCTAATCTCCGAAACTACTGATTTGAATTGAATAATTCTTTTTGTGTTGGATAGTCCATTTATCGAGGAAGGCTATAGAGCGGGTGAAACCGCGCGCAAGTAGCTAGTGTATCTATATGCAAGGGGTAAAAAGTAAGCTGTTTAATACTCTTTAGGCGTTTTTTCATTATCATGTTTTTTTTTGTTTTCCTTTGCCTAACATACCTTAATTGTCTAGTGTGTTCTAGGCAATAGAATTATAAACAAATCTTAAGTTAATTTTATAAAAAAATTTAAACAAAATACCCAGGCACGAAAGCGTCAAACACATGTAATTACAACTCGGTATCGTAAAATACATGCTTTATATAAACGAATCCGTAAGTAATATAGAAATATAAAAATGGCGGGTGTGTGGTCCTGACAGAATAAATAAAAGTTTAGTGAAAACCTAGTGGTGTGCCAAGTGCGGCCCGCGTGCCACAGACACGCGCCCTCACTGCACGACTAGGGAAGGGGCGCTAACGACGCCATCTTATATCGATGTGCCTAATTACCTAGTTTTTATTTGGTGTAATCTATTTCTGTGTCGCGGAGAACCTAACGGGTTACCGGGGCTCCGGCTCGATGTGCAGGAGAAGGAACGGGGTGGTTTTAAGTCAGTAACAGTCTGATACTCCCTCCCGCCTTATCCAGGCAGGAGCAGTCATTCGATGATTTTCCCCCCTTAAAAAAATCTATTTCTGTACCTACTTTACTCGTAAGGTTCTATCGCAAGGTCACCCTAATGCTTACCATCAGGTAATCCGTCTGCTCGTTTACCGGCTTATGCCACAAAAAAATTGATATACCTAAAATAGGTCTTGACAAATGTGGTAAAACTTATTCCATTTTCATTCAGCCACTTACATACTAACTTCAACTCTCAAGCAACTCCCTGCAGAAACACCAAAAAAATAGTTTTCTTTTATTACACACATTCAACAATTCATTCGCCCAGACGAGACGAGTCATTAAAAACATCGACATTCCTAAAAACCATATCGAATCGACAGTACCCCATCCTTAGCGCCGAGTGTTGGCCATGACAGGCGACACCTCGCCCGGGGCGCGGCTTTCATCTCGCCGCTGCCACGCAATTATGGCTAATATCAAATGCGACATTACCGAGTACCGACTTATAACATTGTGCCACCAAACTACGAACTCATTATTTTATAGTTAAGTTACGTGTTTTTATGTGTCAAGTGCTAAAAAATGTGAAACAGAATGATGGACTGGGTTTTTAGGCGTAGGTATTTCAATTTTGGGCTAGATTTGTGTCTGAATCAGTCATCATATTCTTTTGGTGAAATAGAAAAACATTTTCAAAATATACCAAAGGATACATTTTGCTTATTTGTCAAAAGTACTTTTGATGTGTAAAAAACAAGAAGGTTGCTTCTCTAGACGGTCAAATACATCGTTTTATTTAAGTCATGAAATATTGGAGATTTTGAGATCAACTTATAAGTACTAAAAGTATTTACACAACGGGATTCTGGTTTATTTCGGAAAACTGGTATCACAGGAACTAATTTCTATAACTGAAAGCCAATATTCTTTGTAATCCAATTGTAATGAATGTGAACCCATTCTGAGCCATTCTGAGCTATTACCAAGTATCAAGCATAACTCGAGTACACATGCAAGAAAACAACACTACAAAATTAACCTTCACACCATGTACCATTACAATACCACATGAACACCAATTAAAATACTCCCAACATTTGTCCAAATAGGTTCCCGTACACAAGGCTGACACTACGACACGACCCTAATAAATCCTCGCTCTACAAATCACGCGGTAGCACCCGTCACTCGAGTGGAGGACCCTCGACATGCTCTGAGGACCACCTATCACCCTGTCGGTGGCTCACTGGCTATTGGCCCGATCTGCGTACGAAGTAGGTAGATAAGTAAGTACGTTTAAGTTGGTGACTTCTTTTGTGAAGAACTTCAACTCGTTGTTTGTTAGAACGTGGAGTTAAACGAGTTTCAACCATTTACTAAAATATAAAGTTGATTGGCCAAGTGGTCGCAAGTGCGACTGCCGTGCAAGGGGTCTCGGGTTCGATTGCCGGGTCGGGTTTGGTTTCAAAAAATTCACAGTAGTACCACGGAGTCTGGAATTGTGTCCGGTATATGGCAATAGGCTCACACCATACTCATAACATAAATAGTGAAAAGTGGGTGTGACATTGTACAGTGGCATAATGTGCACCTCTGCCTACCCCTTGAGGGATAAATGGTGTGATATTATGTTATAAAGTTGGAAGATTTGTCACTCAAGTAGTGGTGGTATCTCTCAATAATGTCAAAGTATCTAAGGGTAGACTGTCACCCTGTTTAGCAACCACAGGCTATTGGCACAAACTGCGTATGAATAAGTAGTTGATATGTGTTCTAAAAATAAATTTAGGTTGGATCCTGATGATGTAGAAGATTAAGTGTCACCAATTTTAAAAAGTCGTGAGAGAATTAGGGCTTATAATTTCTAGGTATAAGTTTGAAATCACCAACCCGCCTAGAGCGAGCATGGTGATTAATACTCAAACCTTCTCCTTTATTCTGCTGTGGCCACTTACAGGCTGTTGATGATCGTGATCACCAAATATGACAGGTGTCCCTTGTGGTTAGAAAGCCTTCGTTTTCCAATACCAAATAAAAAGAGAATCTTGCTTTGAATCTGATAACCAATTGGGAGATAGACACAGACCACAATGATTTGTCAATTGTCTAGCTAGCCTGTATGTTACATCATTTTACTATAATAATAAGTTTAACCTTTTCGTGGAATAAATCATTAATTTAAAAAGAAAGGTAGGTAATGTATGTTTTCAGTATAAACAAATATAAACGATGTGTTATGAAAAATGTAGAATGAATGACAGTAAGCTTGTACGGATAATGATAGGCATAGTTGTGGCTCCTAGACCGGCGGGGGCGTGAGGCGGGCGGTGGCGGGCCGGGGCGGGGCAGGCACTTCATCATTTATTACTAGCACCGATTGACATGGTGTCCGGACTCCACTGTACTTTAAACTTTTTTAATATTATACTTATGGGTGCATTTTCTTTACCTTATGTGTGATTGAAAGTGGTAGCTTACTTAGTTCGGATGTCTACCTCTTGGTCTTGTCTATTGTGTGGGAGACTGTCACACAGTCGTAGCTAAAAGTGATATCAGATGGTTCATTTTTGTCTTTTATTCGGAATATTTAATTCAAAATGATGCGTCTGAACTCAAAATGAAACAAGAGTGCTAAAATGAATCATTATGGAACCGATACGACGATGCTGGATTTTGGCATTCGGCATCATTCCCTTTTTTTTGGAATAGGAGCCAAACGTGCAGAAGGATTACCTGACGGTAACGATCAGCACCGCCCATGGACACCCACTACACCAGAGGACCCACAGGTGCATTGCCGGCCTTTTAAAAAGGTATACGCTCTTTTCTTGAAGGTTTGGTTTCACTGTCTGCAAACCGAGTGGACGTTCACTCGGGTTTAATTAAATTATCACAAACTAAAGTAATTCCGAGACGCACGGCATCTCTCGATGACATATGTTATAATAATGAATGAATGTTCATTTCTTTGGCATTCCACTAAAGGCGTCTGAACATGGAATGAAAGAAAGGGCGTATGTTTATTCGAGTGAACCGTCAGATATGACCTTCAATGAATTTTCTAATTTTGATTACGAAAATTACCAATGTTCACCTCGTACCTCGGACATCATGTAAGGCTAATCTCTCTTCAATCAGGTGGTCGCAAGAAAATGCGTTTCAATTTTCAGTGCCTTTAGCCAAACGCCACTTTAGCGCTTGTCTATAGAGAGAATAGAAATCAAAATGTATTGGGATGACACTGACAAGTGTCAAAATTTACATCAATTCCATACAATTTGGTTTTCTATTCTACATGTAGACAAGCGCTAAATGTCATTTGACTACAGCTACTGGACGGCCAATAGCTGACAATACTCTTGAAAAGTCGATTTTTTTATATTTGATAGGATGACGTATAACCACTAATTGATTGAAGAGGAATATGTAATAACTACTGCATGTCAAAAGATTCGTTAATCTCAGACGTAATTGACGTAAATAATCAATAAGTGTATGCAATTCAAGAGTCTCGCCTCACCCAAGGCGGGCACATTTACGGCAGCGAGATTTGGTGGTTTTCCTTTTCAAAAAAGGTTTTTTATACCTTCGCCGGTAATATAAATCATGATATTAAGTAACACTTCAGTCCATCCCTGTGTCCGTAATTCTAGGACAATCAGATTCATGGTAACCGATGAGCGGGCAGTGGGCGGCTCGGTAAACACCATGAATAACTCACCACTGTGGGACACCACACCTGAACACTTATGTGTGGGGAATGTACTGCGTTTTTATTTTATAGAAATGTTCTACACATTTATGTAGGTGCTACCATGCTTTGTTAAAGCTCTATAAATCTAACAAGGTATGCAGTTTTAGTGCGAACTTCTAAGTGCAGTTTCGAATTTATTTTCGAATCTTTGTACATAGAATAGATTTAGTCTTCGTATGAAGAGTAGATAGACGTTGTTATATTTTCAAAGGACCTGGGTCATTCTAAACTAGACTATGATTACTACTTGCTCTTTTAGAATCTTTATTAGTCAACAGAAATCGGTGTGGGCTTAAGATGATAGTTTAAGAAAGGAAAACTGCAGTGGTAAGAAAATTACAATTTCGAATGGGCCGGCTCGACTGGAGTGATACCACGACCTTACGCAAAACCGACGTGAAACAGCCACAGCAATGTGTTTCGTCATGTGAGTGAGGTTACCGAATGCCCAATTACTACCCTACCCTATCTCTCCAATCCCAGAATCCCCAACAAGCCTCAAATTCCTAATCCCCATAACGCACTTGTACGCCTCTGGTGTTACGGGTGATCTGCCTGCTCAAAACAAGTTTATTATAGTCGTCAACAAACGAATTTTAAAACATAATATAAAAATAAGTAGTTGTTTAAAAAATACTTAGAACTGTGTATTGGAGGGTGTCGCGGCGGCGGCGGCGGCGGCTCGGTGCGCGGTGGTGCAAATGTTCGAGTCTAACCGTTAACTGTGCAAATACAATGCTTTTACACCAGCTTAGTTACACCGATGTAGAGATTTACTAGAAGGGACAATGAAACATTTTTATTTGTTTCAAGTCAAGGACTGAACGAGTCTTTACAATAAACTACGTAATATATGCAGTTTTCTTTGCCGTTGTCCAATGAGTTTAATGAAAATCATACTATTGATGAAACAATATCTTCTGTACTTTCGCAATTTATGTTTCACTCTAATATTAGTTTTATGATTACATTTATCTACATCCAAACTGAAACTCATAGATTAGACAGAGACCATAGAACGCTAAGATAATTACATAACGATTCTGAAGTCTTTTTTTTAAGTTTCCATTACATTCATTCAGTAAAACAAGGCCTATAATGAACTCAACTTTCTACACAGAACTACTTCTTCACACCCTGTCATTCAGTTCTGAACTTTTTCCAATAAAACTCCCAATAGATTAGTACTGCCTATGTAGGTGGGATGCCTAAATCCTCTGAGTGTGTTCGTGCCGCGACCTGCCGCCGGTAGATTATGATCAGCAGGTGTCGGCTCCCACGGTAACGCGCACTTGTTACTGTTATCTACTAATTGTTTCATAATCATCTGTTTGTGTTCTAAATGGTATTGTGGCGGATTATGTTTATTGTTATTTGGCGAATGTTACATTACTGTTAACAATAACAGTTTCTGTCTAGGCATTTTGTAATCAAGAAACATGATATTCCTGTCGCTTATGGATATATAAAACTATTGATCAGAAAGTTTCGAATGATATACTAGTAATTATAGTGAATAATTGTAGGTAAGGATTTAGTGTGTTAAAAGTATCCGAGTTAGCAGAAAATTCTGCATTTCTTTTACTATTCCAAAAAAATCTCTCTCGTTTAAACTACGCTCAACCCAGCCGCTTCCATCCTCTTTACATCAATGTGTATCCCGGTTCGTGCTCCGTGGTACCGTCGCTAGATTATGATCGCTAACAGTTGCGCTCTCTCCCATCACCGGCCGCGTCCCGGCTCCAGCACAATAATGCGTTATTGTTCTATACATTATCTATTTATTTCACTGGAAATAATACTCTTCTAGTCTTTCTAAACGTTTCAGGATTTTCAAATTGAAATTTAGTTTACGTTATAGGTACTTATACTACGGGTCGCATGACCTATTATAAATTCTCGGTATTTATTAGGTACTGAGAATTTTACTTTACTCAGGTCCAAACTATATTCTTTGTTACTCGTATCCATGATCCAAAAGTAATTTTCAGTCAAGTTTCCGTGAAAAATTGTTAGATACGATGCAGACTTGTGAGTAATGCACAATAAAAGCAGAAAAAAAGGAATATAGAGTATTTACTTACATTTCCTCCTCTCAGTGGTGGTTGGCTGTGTGTAGTCTTTGTCTGGGACCTCCTCCTTCACTTTAGCCTCCATCTGAAACAATTCGAAGAAACATCATAAATAAATTAATACTTTAAGCATCAATGTATCAAAAAAAGAGTAACGATTCGAGTTTCTTGCTCGTCTTTCTCCATTCGAATTTACATTTTGGATCGAGCGCCTAGCTTCACTGACGGACAGACTGACGGACTATTACATATATCTACTATTATTTTATGTTTGTTGACGTTTTAAAAGGACAAAATTATGGTTAATTACTAAGTCTCAGTTAGCATACCTAGAATTTAGGTCTAGCTTGTCTAGATTGTATAGAAATGCTAGAACAGTGTTGTATACAGTGCGTGTCGCTCAGGCGTCTGGTTTACATCTCCACGTCGCCGTGACGTACACCAGCTGGATTCCAGCGTACACCTGCTTTCTGAGTGTTGTGGGTCGTACACACTGTATCTATGAACAAATTGTTTACGTTTATACCTATGTAGAGAGAAGTGACGTTTGAATAGTCTAAAGTTTAACTAGCAGTAATTCACCGAGGGAAGTGGAATCTATCGTTTTTTTTTCTCCTCTTATAATATCTTCTGATTAATTTCGTTGCGGGAACCAAGACAGTTACTCATGTCCCTGGGACGCGCCGGACTTCAGTGTTCCGGTGTTTTCATGGTTGTATCTACTGTAGATCCTGGCTTACAGGAGTTGCAGCGGTTCTGGGAGGTTGTTTAATGGAAATGTTTGTTTAAATCAGATGATTTAATTCAACTTATTTTTCTGGAGTACGTTAAAAATTCCTAACATGTTTTTTAATAAAATGATTTATTGTTGTGTTACTTCTAAAACCCATGTACATATCTAACCAAGCAATGTAGACTGTAGATGTACGTATGATTTTTATACTACATGCAGCCTTAGAACTAAGTACATCGGCGACAACCTCAGAATCACATACGCGTTGCCGACCTTATGATGATTTTTCTAAGACGTAATATGTATTATATACTACAACAGTTACATACATCTATGAAACAATACGAGTAACACGTGTGCTCCAGTATGAACGGTCCTCAAACCGTGCGCCTGTAGGTCTGCACAATGTTCCGCCGCCCGCGTCAGCTGAGCCACAACATCCGTCTGGAATATAGTACAGCACCATCTAGCGCCTGCACGCCCAACTAGCGCTGCCAAAATATATTGCTAACGTATTTTTATTTGAACCAAAACAGCTGTTTGTTTAAAATATCCACAAGTGCTAAATGAAATGTGGCACTGTGTTCAAATATAGATCACCAGGTTTGTAACAATAGTTTGACGAACTTTTTAACGCCATCTCTACTCTTACCGCTAGTGTCGTAAGTACTAAACGACTCAAAAGTAATAGTCAAAATCATTTAGTTTAATTAGGAAGGTACTTTTGAACGTCAAAAGTTAAAATTTAAAAGTGAAGCTATTTTGCTCGTTCCAAAGTTTAGATTCCTATGGAGAAGAACGAGCTAGAATTCAGAATACAATTCTTTAGTTACATAGTTTTGTTGGTTCAATTGTGTGAGAACAATGTAACACCAAAATCCAGTCAAAGGGATCGACAAAGAAAATAACCGGACAATAAAATAAGTCCCAGTTGACGCCGCCTGTTCACGAACATGACACGTGCACCAGCACCGCCCAACTCAACCATATTGTAGGGAATCGAGCGATCCACTGCACGTGCCACCGCCAATGAGATCTTTGAGTTAGCATGATAACTCCAAGCTGACACAAATGCAATCTACCTCTAAGTACTGGTACTTAGACCAGTCTAATTTAATGTTAAGTTAATTGCAGGGCTCTCACCTTTACAATGATTTTGCAGTTAAATAATATACCTACATCCTAGGAACATGGCTGTATTATTTACATGTTTGGATTTCATTGAAACATCAACGTTTTTCGTTATCCTGTGGAGCCGGACTAGCCTGCATCCAAGCATTTTTATCCTCTATATAATCATGAAGTTTGTAATATGCTTGTCTACATAACGTTTTTTAATACATCATTTCAATTTCGTTTCATTTAGATGTTGTAAATTGCTTGGTATCTTATACTATTATATAAAGCGGAAGAGTTTGTTTTTTTGTTTGTTTTTTTGAACGCGCTAATCTCCGTAACTACAAGTCTGATTTGAATAATTATTTTTGTGTTAGATAGCGCTTTTATCGAGGATGGCTATAGGCTATAAAACATCACGCTACGACCAATAGGTGCTGAGCAGAGCGTGTGAAACAGCGCGGAAGTAGCTAGTCTTAATAACATTTAACACAGAATCTCATGAACGACTTACTTGACTACATATTTGACAGAGACGGGGCAGAAGCAGCGCTCTCTGATAAGACTGAACTTTTTAAAGTTGCGATCTCACCTTAAGTGGCTTGCCATAACCACCGTACTCGGTGGGTCGATAGAGTGAAGGCTCATCATGCAGTAGTGGACGATGATCAAGATTTCATACTGAACTCTTTACTCTTAAAAATTTAATGATATCTTCAATGAGTCACTGCAGTATCGATGGTCCATTGATGTTTTTTATGTATAGTCAGTAGCCGTCCATTCATAGGAGCGGCGTTTCCCGTCCACTGTTTATATTAATCGTGCTAAGATTCTTTTAATTCGAATGAATGATACAGGAGTAAGTAATTTAAGTGGATGTGCTTTGAAAATGTTAGAATATCTATTACAGTTGGATTTCTTTGTATATCACTGGTATGAATTCAAAAAGAATATATCTTGTTAAGTCCTAGAAGACAATTGTAAATTAAAGAAAAATCTGTACAGTACTAATTAAGATAACATAACATAACATCACGCCTTTGATCCCCGAAAGGAGAGGCAGAGGTGCACACAGAAGTAACACCCACTTTTCACTATTTATGTTATGAGTCCCATGTAATAGGGGGTGAGCCTATTGCCATATACCGGGCACAATTCCAGACTCCGTGCTGAGTTTTTTTAAAAACCCAGTAATACTTTGCTCGACCCGGGAATCGAACCCAAGACCCTTTGCCCGGCAGTCGCACTTGCGACTAGTCGGCCAACGAGGCAGTCAGAGGCATTAAGATAACTTGGCTATAACTATGCATTTCACTTGATTAGGTACCTTGATTATTTTGGGTTTAAAGCAGTGTAGACTTAGATATTTTATCGATATTAATTGAGTCAATGAAAGTCTAAATACTGCTATAAACATATAATTATATTGTTCCACACATAAGGCCATACAGACATATAGTTAGTTTACTAAATTATCGCAACTGACTCGCGGATGACTAGGGAACTTATTATCTCTTGCATATAATTTCATCGGCTGGACATAGTTGCTTGGTTTATAAATACAATCGTATTAATTCACCGAGGGATGTAGAAACTATCATCTCTTTCTTCTCCTCTTATAATATCTCCTGATTTACTTAGTTGCGGGAACCAAGACAGTCACTCGTGTCCCTGAGACGCGCCGGACTTCAGTGTTTCGGTATTTTCATGGTTGTATCTACTGTAGATCTTGGCTGACAGGAGTTGCAGCGGTTTTGGGAGGTTGTAGCGGGCTTGTCCCATTAAAATAAAATACAATCGTATAAACGTATTACGTAAATTATTATGCATACTAGTGAGTCCATACGTCCCTGCAATAACTATTATTTTAAAACTCAATAACTAAATCAATGCACTATCATGATGATCATTAGGAATGGTCACAAAATTAAGTCTTATTTCATCAAATCATCGATGGTCGTGGTAACCCGGAGGTTTAAGACGCCTGCTTCTCATGCCGTTGGTAGGTTTCGAACCCGCACCCTCATGGTGCGGGTTCGAAACCTACCAACGGCAAGTACGAATGTGGCTTTTTCAGAGTAATATGTACTTTCTAAGATTATCTAGACACCACTGACAAACGGTGAAGGAAAACATAGTGAGGAAACCTGGGCTTATCATTTCTAATTATAAGTTTTTAATCGCCAACCCGCATTCAGCAAGCGTGGTGATTAATGCTCAAACCTTCTCCGTGTGAGAAGAGGCTTTGATCAGCAGTGGGCATTTATAGGCTGTTGATGTCATCAAATCAATGGCAAAGAAATGTTTAAAAAATCTTTCAATGATTTCTTTCTCCAACCACGCGATATCATATTATGTCCAGTACACTCATCACAAATTAATTAACAACTACCACACCATAACTGACTACTCCACACCTGTAGGTATACAGCAGTATTCCAATTATGTGCGAAAGTAAAGATTGTATTGGATCTGGTGACACCTGTGCTCGGCCGCACCTGTGCTGGGCCGAGGGTACGCCACCCCACCCCTAGACGCTACTATTTGTTTCAGAAAGGGTAAGAGAATTTTGAACGAATATAATTTCATAGAAAGGGGTTGTGTCATATTTATTACCTACATCTTATTTTATGTCACTTTGTATCAAGTGCTTACTGTGTTATGTGATTAGTTGTATTTTAAAACAAAGTAATAAAATCGTATATTTATGTAAAAATGTTTCTGTGATATTGTACATATTAGAAGTAGATTTAATGCATGGCAATTTTAAACTTGTGGAAAGGATTTATTAAATAACGGGAACTTGAACAGTGTATACCATTTTTTTTTATTTTAAATACGACAGAACTTCGTGTTTTAATGTCACTCTATTTTCTTAGTGATCCATATAAAATCAAAAGAGATTGTTACTATTACAGTCGTTACAATGATATGTGTCTATGAACAGTAAGACACCACAAAATGAGGTTCACGCAAATCCAAAAGGCCTCGGCGTAACATTGTAGTTATTTAAATGAGGAACGAAGTCACTTTATAAAAGTCCTTTTGTTTTGTTGTTAAAAAAATTGACTGTACGGGCGGTGCGGTGGCTGGGCAACCGACTGCCGTGCAACGTGTCGCGGGTTCGATTCCCGCACGGAACAACACTTTGTGTGGTCCACAAATTGTTGTTTCGGGTCTGGGTGTCATGTGTATGTGAACTTGCATGTTTATAAACGCACCCACGACACAGGAGA